TTTCAGGTGTCTGTATAGCAGTAGTTCAGTGATGCTGTACAGTCCCAGTAAAGTATGTCAGATTGTGGTAATTTGCTGTTTTCAATTTCATCACAAACTAAAGGCGTTCCTCAATACCAAGTACGCAAAGTTCAGACCTGTGGCCATGGTAGTTCAGACTCAGTTTGACTCAGGTGTACGGACTCCCGAGGATAGGATGACGAAAGTTCGGTAATTTTGCAAATTGAACATCAGCGTACCGTCACTCACCTCGCCTTGGCTACTTCAGGTACCCTCACTGTATACTACCAATAACAAAATATTATATAAAATACCACCCTGCCTCTTTTTGTTTGCATTTCACAAATTTATAGCCACAAAAAGTGGATAAGGGCAACAAGATCATATTTTGACTGTATGTATATAATAAAACACACATATGAAACATATTCACATGTGGTTCGGCAATATTTGTACTCCGATTATGTTTATTGTATGTGTAATGAAATGAAATAAGAAAACAAGAACGATTCAGCACTTATCTTTTAAAAACTCATCTGAAGATAAACTGAGAGTTTATTTTCTTTTCTCTATCACCTGATTTGCATAAATAGTTTTGCAAATGAAACACAACAGCCAGTAAAAATCCCATTAATTTTCTCCAAGATTAATTTTTTAATGATTTCATCGCAGTATTTCAAGACAGACCTACTGTGAGCTTTGAGGTTATTAATCAATGATCCATGCCTAGATACATGTTTAACTGATCAAATTACAGATGCAGAACTGCATACCAATAAATCGTAAAGATAAAGATCCACTAATCGGAGACTATCAAACCAATCAGGATGGAGGAGGAAACGGACAAGAAAAATACTTCTGGAACCAAGACAACTGAAAAATGTGCCTTTAATTTTGTGTTCTATTGGGTACTGAAACAAAAAGTCATTATTATTGATTCCCCCCAAAGTTGACAGAATTAAAAATGTTATTTATTAATGATTTTGTTTTTATAAAAACACCTTAATATAAAGCTTTGAGCACTGAGCTGTCATGAATTTATTCATATGTAATATGCAGGTGATCTCCCTGGATGTCAAAGAGAAAGGGGTGAATTCTGGAACCAAGTCGCTTCCAAGGCCACTGTCACTAAAGCGCTTTCAGTGCTTCTGTTGCCATGGTAATAAGAGCTGATGCCAATTGTAGAGACAGGGAAAGCTTACTACTGGAATTACACATGTGCAAAATTTTACTGTCTTCATGAAAACTAATTAGACACTAATCAGATTCACCAACTCTCGCAGGAGATTCGACCATAGGCATAGTGAAACGTGTGATGGCAGCAGTCCTGACTAAGGGTGAAACCTACCAAGAGTGGAGAGGAAGTCATTTGTCATTTGGCGGTAACACTGTACAGCCAAGAACACAACACCTCTGACACAAAACAGCTTGCTGAAGCAATAAGCCGTAAAGCAATAAGCCGTGAGAGGCCATACATTATGCTGGTTTTACCTAAAGTCTAAAAACCCTTAAAGGATTTCATTTTGATGTGTAACTGGTCCTGCATGCAGCCTGTTCAGGAAAGATGGTCTTTTACTTTTCCAAGAATTCAGACTAACGCTGGGAAATGATAAAAAAAAAAAAATCCAATAAGTTTACATTGAAGGAGCAATATCTAGGTGACTACATAACAACATAGGCCTACAAACCACTCAAAACCAACAGAGTATTCGTAAAAATGTTATGTTTTGGTGAATTGGTGGCAATATCTCATTACTGTGTGTTCACACCACGAATAGCGCATCAAATTCGCACCTACCATGTCTAGTTATACGCACTTTGAATCCATTCACGCGTGAAGAGCGTAATTGACCCGTTGGCCGTTGGCGGCCATCTTTTTTTATGTTATTCGAGCATTCATCGAGAGAGTCCGCCTTCCGCCTATCCCGCGTCCAGTTTGATGACCTGTTGTCCCGCATCGGAGCCAGGATCACCCTCACCCCCATCCATCTAATCTGTCATTTATTTTTGTTTTGATGATAAATAGAGCCAGCCTCCAAAAGTTATTAACCTGTCATGTGATTTTTTTCTCTCTCACGTCCAGACACGAACTTATGCACATGTATGTTGTTGGTTGCCTCTACATTATAATAATATTTCATATAATCTAGAATGGAATAAATAACATTTAATACAAAATGAACATGTCTCGTATATTGAAATAAAGTTTAAAGAGATAAAATATTTGCTTTGTTGAGCATTAGAACCACACCAGGCATTCAAATGTTTGCTTTGTTGAGCATTAGAACCACACCAGGCATTCAGTCATATTACAAAATAATTTATTGAAGCATCCAGATACTTCACCATGTGAGCACGTAGCTAGGCTCCAGATTGGTAAACGGCGCGAATTGACGCCAAATTTAAGATTTTTCAACTCGGGCGGCAGGCACAAATTTGCATCAAACGCTTGAATGCACAAATAGCACTAAGTAAATAATTTGCGCTTAATGCGCCAGACGCTCAATTCGTGCAATTGAGGCATATTTGCGTGTACCACGCCGCAAATTTTTTACTTGCGTAACGCATCTTTGCATTGACTTAACATTGAAATCACTTGCGCCTGACGCCCTATTCGCGTCCGATGTGAACGCACCATAAGAACATTTTCGTATGATTTCCTTATGCCCCACAGAGTTTTTTATTTATTTTATATATCCACAAGTTTCCTACGCCCCATGAGGCCTTGCGTCAAAAGTGGGCGCGACTTCCGGTTTGAAGTAAACAAAGCGCTACTTGACATGCTTGACACTCGTTCATTCAACAGTTGACAGTCATTCAAGTTATAGCGATCCAAACTAGCTAACGATGTGGGAACACAACCTCAACGAAATTAAAAGGGGTGAAATAACAGTACCTTTACCCTCCGCAGTAGTTGATTGGGAGTATTATAATAACATTATTAATAATCAATACTCATCAAGGCATGTTGACAGACAGTTGTGTGAGCTGACAAACAATTAAAATAAAAAATACACACTTAGTCATTGTGCTTTGGAGTTTATTCAAAATTATAAATGAATGTGCCACTTGAATACATTAACTGGCACATTTGGTATTCTGTCACCTCAGGCTTTGATCCTGAGTTTAGGTGTAACATCAGTAGCGAACAGCTAAACACATGCTGATAGAGTTTATAGAATATTAAGATTTTAAACAAATGTACACAGGATGATTCGTTGTCTTTTGGGAGGTTGATGGAAACTTCAGTCGTTGGTAGGATCACTGTGATTTCAGCTTATGTTCAAAACAATCACGTTTAAGCCACTGAATTAGTTTAGTCCGGTTATACATACAACCGCGAACAGCGCATGTTGTCCCTGAGCTCCGTAACGACATCTCTCATAAAGATTGGCGTCTTTAAATAGTAAAATAATTCTCCGAAAAACAGCTAGCCTCTTCGCTAACTAACACACAAAATACCATTGGAATGCTACTTCCGCCGCCTCACCGGAAGTTTCACCCACTTTATTTTTTACAGGAGCGCCCCTCGGAAACTTGTGGATATGTTTTTTTTTTTTTTTTGTTAAATCAAGTGAATCTAATTGTAGGCATCTGTACAAAATCACCATCTCATAAAACAATTGTTTTCTAATGAGACCAGATTGCTATGGAAGCTTGTTTCCGCCATGGAAAAAAAAAAAATAATAATAATATTGAAGATACTTGTAATTACTTGTAACTTGTAATTACAAATATTGAAGATACTTGTAACTAATTTTTCCTCTGGATTGGAAGATTTATTCTTGCAATTGTGAGTTATAATGCCAGAATTGCAAGATAAAAACTAGCAATTGCGAGACATAATGTCGATTTTACAGCTGGAACTATCAGTTTATAAACACACCTTGAAAAAGCCAAGAATGGAAGCCTGTGAGAGGTTGAAGGCTCTCTAAATATAGCTGACATTGAGTCATGAGCTGAAATGCTATTGTTATTCAGGCGATGTCATATTGAAGCCTCTTTGCTGTG